CTATTATCTTCCTTTTACTTCTCCAGAATTAACTTCAAAATCTACATGCTTTGCTTGGCTATCCTGTTATTTAGCCCTGTTGGTTTATTATTTAGATAAAAACATTCATCCTGAAACACAGGAATAAAAAAAGTGCAAGTGTGCTTACCTGGTGTATCAAATAAAACTCACCCAATTAATTCAGTCATTTGGCATAAAGGAGGCTCCTATCTCCTCCAGTTTTTCAGTCTCTCTAGGATGCTAATTGTTTTTCTTTTGATAGTCTTATAATTTTGGCCTGAAGTCTAAAATCTGGCCTGCTGGGCTATGTGTCAAATTTGTAAATTAGATGACATCTGTTTTGAATTTTAACCATCTTTAATTTTCTTTCAAGCTCTCTCTTCCCTTATTCATTTCCCCTTCAGTTGTAAGGGTCAGATTTTGCTAGATGCTTTAGACAAAAGTATGGATCTCTCCGCTTTGTGGGGCACGGATTAAAATTACTGACGCTAAATGGTCACAATGAAGGCTATTCAGAGAAGAGATGTTGGGAGAGGAGCCTTGGCAACCATCCCAGAGAGGATGAGCAGCTAATACAAAAAGGGGGCAGTCCACATCAGTCTTTTTAAGGTTCCCACCAAATACTTATAATTGATCAGAAGGAGACTGATGGAGAAGGTTGAAATGAATGAAGTATTCTGAATTGAGGGAGAGGCTAAGGTGGCGATGGTGGTGGCAGTACTTGAAGGGCATGGTGACCTTTTATCTCTTAGCATTTTTTTTTCTCTCTTTTCCCTAGAAAAATAATAAAGGGAGGAGAAATGAATTTTTCTAATGCAGACCCATATTTGGACAGTGAGACTCCCTTTTTTCCTCCTATCTACATATCTCTTAAATTCTTCTTTTCATGAGGAAGTTGTCTATTGCTAATTGGATTGGGCCTACTTTATTAAGAACCATTTNGGAGGAGAAATGAATTTTTCTAATGCAGACCCATATTTGGACAGTGAGACTCCCTTTTTCCTCCTATCTACATATCTCTTAAATTCTTCTTTTCATGAGGAAGTTGTCTATTGCTAATTGGATTGGGCCTACTTTATTAAGAACCATTTTTCCTGCTGGAATGCCTTAACGTAACACCCTGTATAACAAGTTTTTCCTTTATATAAACCCTTTTCACACATATAATCTCACAGAGAGTCAATTGGCCTCTTGTAACTTTGCATGTGTAGAGGCAGGAAAGAATGGACAGACTGTTGGCCAGAATACATGTCTGAGCTTTTACGTCTGATGCACATGCCAGTCACCATTGGAAGAAACGAGCAGGTTCGCTGTGCAGAGAATATAAAGTGGCTCCCCCAAACCCCAGCTGTAGAAGCTCTAAACTGAATTCTCAAACCACACCATGAAAATTAACTAACAGTGGCTCTGCTTACACACAGATGACAAATCATCCCTTTGTGATGCTGGCTTTGGGTTTCTTGGATGTTGCCATGTGTAGGCTGTTGCTAGGCGTAAATGCTGTTTTTAAAATGGAATATGTAGATAGCAGTGGTTTTCAACTGGGGGTGATTTCTGTCTCTAAGGGGACATTTAGCAATGTCTGGAGACATTCTTGGTTAGTACAACTGAGTGGGAGGTTTACCACTAGCCTCTGGTGTAGAGAGGCCGGGGAAGTGGTAAGTATTTCTAGAGTGCACAGGATAGCTCCACAACTAAGAATTAACCAAATGTCAGTAACACCAAAATGAGAAATCCTGGTATTACAGACATCTGTACTAGATGTGGAACCAGGCAACAATAGATTTTAATTTAATTTTAATTTTAATCAAAAGTATGGTGTTGAGAGAAAAGGGCACTAGCTACCTGTCTTCCTTGAATGGACAGCTACTGTTGAGATGACCATCTTGGCCATAAAATATTCTCTGTGTGGAATGGGCAAAGAGGTGCTTCATATGGGCTCCCCTCCAGCTCCGTCTTTTCTTGGTTATCAGCATGCTTTTCCATGTGCATGTGGTCACTCACGCTAGACATCTCTGGGTTTTCATTCACTCTTCTCCCCTTCTCCTCAGCCCACCTCTCACCAGTAATTGACTCTTTCTAGTTCCAAGCTGTCTCAACATGGAGGGAGCTGACTGCTAAGACTCCAAGAGTAGCATCCTGGTCACCCTCTCTCTTGCCAGCCAAATCCATTCAGGGCTCCACCGTGTCAGCCACTTCTTCACCCATCTAGTAGTCCTTTAGTGCAGAAATATTGAAAGCCCACTATCTGCTAATTACCGTGTTAGAAGCAGTGTTCATTCTCTGGGTAACAGTCTTTCCAAGTCACCATGTTGCTTACAGAACAAACTCCTTGCTTCTCTGTGAATATGCCTCTGACCTAACTTTCCAGTTTACTCTCCTGCCCTCCACTGATGTATTCACTCCAGTCACATTGAACCAATTGCTTTGCCTCAGTCTGGGTCACACACTCTTAAACTCTTTTATCTTTGCACGTGAGGAGTGTCCTTTGTATTTGGAGTGCCCTTTCAACCCTTATTTGGGGAGCTTTCATTCATCCTGTGCAACATGATCTGGTACCTATGCAGATGCCTGGCTCATGGAAGCTACTCAACAAATATGGAATGAATTTAAATTTCATCTTCTTTGTGAAACTTTCTTCATTTCCCTGGCTGTATGTCTCTCTTGTGCCACAGCCTGCTATACCCACTTCCACTAACCCCTCACACACACTGAGTATGAACCTTTGAGGAATGATGTCTCTCGTCTTAGGTCTTGTTCTGTGTCTCTTGGGACCTTCAGGCTCTGTGCCATGCTGGACATAAAGTGGATCATTGTGACTAAATCTTCACTATTTTGTGAGGTTGGCTTCTGTGTTTCTGGAATGCTATTTCATACTGAAAATGATATGCATCATTTGTTAACCCCCCAAACTCACAATATCTGATGCTAGTCTTAAATGTGTCCTGCCCCTTCTCCAGAACTGAAAACCTTCCAATGCATAGGATCTGAAATTTTAGTCCATCTTTTATCATTTAGTTACTGTGTAACTTTGGGAAGAGATTTAACCAGTCTCTGAGCCTTTGTTTCTTCCTCTATAAAAAAGGAATAATGATAATTGCCCTTCTCAACTTACAGAGTGATCATGAGGATCAGATGAGATGATGAATTTGAACGTATTTTGTAACTCCTATGGTCATAAAACTTTCCAAGTGTCTCTCTATTCAAAATGTGACAAATATAATAAAACACTCTTTCATTCATCCTGTGCAACATGATCTGGTACCTATGCAGATGCCTGGCTCATGGAAGCTACTCAACAAATATGGAATGAATTTAAATTTCATCTTCTTTGTGAAACTTTCTTCATTTCCCTGGCTGTATGTCTCTCTTGTGCCACAGCCTGCTATACCCACTTCCACTAACCCCTCACACACACTGAGTATGAACCTTTGAGGAATGATGTCTCTCGTCTTAGGTCTTGTTCTGTGTCTCTTGGGACCTTCAGGCTCTGTGCCATGCTGGACATAAAGTGGATCATTGTGACTAAATCTTCACTATTTTGTGTGGTTGGCTTCTGTGTTTCTGGAATGCTATTTCATACTGAAAATGATATGCATCAATTGTTAACCCCCCAAACTCACAATATCTGATGCTAGTCTTAAATGTGTCCTGCCCCTTCTCCAGAACTGAAAACCTTCCAATGCATAGGATCTGAAATTTTAGTCCATCTTTTATCATTTAGTTACTGTGTAACTTTGGGAAGAGATTTAACCAGTCTCTGAGCCTTTGTTTCTTCCTCTATAAAAAAGGAATAATGATAATTGCCCTTCTCAACTTACAGAGTGATCATGAGGATCAGATGAGATGATGAATTTGAACGTATTTTGTAACTCCTATGGTCATAAAACTTTCCAAGTGTCTCTCTATTCAAAATGTGACAAATATAATAAAACACCTCTCTCAATCTGGCATGGTCTAGACTTCTTGAAAGGACCGGATTCATCATATCCACTCTCTTCCTTCAACCCCAGGCATCCTATTTTATGCTCATCCATACCACTGGCAGATCACTCACTACAATCATCAGTAATTTTTAAATTGCCAGTACCTGTGGACACTTTTCTGTCCTTCCTTCATTTGACCTGAAGTCCAGTCTGCCTCTGCCTGAGATGTTCTCTGCATTAGGGCCAGAGCAAGCTTCCTAAAACATGGATTCTGATCATATCCTAATATGTAAAAATCCTACATGACTCCTCACAGCCTCCAGGATAAAATTTAAACTCCTTAAGAAGGTCTGTCATGTCCTGCACCATCTGGTCCTTGCCTATTACTTCATCAGTATTACCTAATATTGATGCTAGCAAGACAGAATGACTTCTGTTTTCAGAAAGTGTTGTGCTCTTCCACATACTGCCCCAAAGCCAGCTTGGTGTAATCTGGTCATCTTTCAAGACTTGGTTCCATATGTCACCTCATCTGGGAAGCATTCTCTGATTTCAGCTTCCCATTCTTCCTCATTCCATGCAGAAGTAGGTACCCCAACCTGTGTTCCCCAAACTCCTTGACACAATCATAATTGGCATAATCTTCCCACTATACTATAATTACCCACTTATTATTTACCAATCTCTAGACAATGAGCTCTTTGGATAAAAGAATATGTTTTATCTCTCTATGTGTCTAGCCATTGGCAGAATTCCTGGCATACAGCAAGTAAATGATTTAAATGTTTGTTGAATAAATAAACAAATTCTATAAACATTATTATTTGTACTACATTCTTATTTCTTTACTGTATTTTCTGCACTTTAAAAAATTGTTTTGGTTACATTTTGGCTTTTACAGATTTATAAAAATTCTGTCAAGTGTCATAATTTATTCAGAAGTTACTCCATGTTGAGATAGTGAGTTTGGCTTTCTTTGGGAACTTTGATGCCTACAAAAGAAAGCATAGCCTTTGGTGCTATGCCTCCATGGGTTCGCAGCAGATCCTAAGGTCCCCAGGAGTTCCTGCTCACCTGTCATTTCTGGCCTTGGTGGTTTCCAGTTGTCGGGTAAGGAGCGTGGAAATGGCAGTGAAGCTGTTGCTCATGCGGAAGATGTCTCTGCTCTGCGGGCCCAGGATGGAGGAGAAGGTGTCCGTGATGCTCTTGATCTCCAGCAGGAGAATATGATGAAACGAGTGCTCCATGCTGGCCAGCTGACTCACCAGGAATGGCAGGCAGCTCCTGGCTCTCTCCTGCAAGAACAATGGAGAACGCATACAATTGCTGGTGGGGATGAAAATGGGTGCAGACACCAAGGAAAACAATATGGCTGTTCCTCCAAAAATAGAACTACCCTATGATCCACTAACCCCACTTGTGGGAATCCATAGGAAGGAAACAAAATCATTATCTCAAAGAAATACCTGCACAGCTGTGTTCCAAAAGCATCACTTGCAACAGCCAAGACAGGGAAGCAACCTGAGTGTCCACTGACAGATGAATGGGTGAAGACAATATGGCACACAGGCATGGAATGAAGAATTATTCAGCCACGAAAAAGAAGGAAATCCCACCATCTGTGACAACACAGATGAGTCTGGAGGGCACTATGCCAAGGGAAACAAGTCAGACGGAGAAAAGACAATTACGTACTGATATCTCTTATATGTAGAATCTTTAAAAAAAAAAAAAGTCAAACTCATAGAAACGAGAGACCAGAAAAGTGGTTGCCAAGGGCTAGTGGGTGGGGGAAATAAGTAAAAGTTGGTAAGCGGTACAAACTTTCAGTTATAAGATGAATATGGGTTTGAGAGGTTAATGCATAACATGGTGACCACAGTTGCTAACATGGTATCATGGAACTGAAGTTTGCTAAAATATATGGGATAATGGATTGGCTAGTTAAATTGATGAGAGGAATCCTTTGATATATGTATATGTATATCAAATCATCCTGCTGTACACTTTAAATATTTTATAATTTTACTTGTTGATCATACCTTAATAAAACTGGCAGGGGGTGGGAAGGAGTGGAGAATAATGAAGAACTAAGGCCTTGGAAGGAAAGTTATGACCAACCTAGATAGCATGTTAAAAAGCGGAGACATTACTTTGTCAACAAAGGTCCATCTAGTCAAGGCTATGGTTTTTCCAGTGGTCATGTATGGATGTGAGAGTTGGACTATAAAGAAAGCTGAGCACCAAAGAATTGATGCTTTTGAACTGCGGTGTTGGAGAAGACTCTTGAGAGTCCCTTGGACTGCAAGGAGATCCAACCAGTCCATCCTAAAGGAGATCAGTCCTGGGTGTTCACTGGAAGGACTGATGCTGAAGCTGAAACTCCAATACTTTGGCCACCTCATGCGAAGAGTTGACTCACTGGAAAAGACCCTGATGCTGGGAGGGATTGGGGGCAGGAGGAGAAGGGGACAACAGAGGATGAGATGGCTGGATGGCATCACCGACTTGATGGACATGAGTTTGGGTGGACTCCGGGAGTTGGTGATGGACAGGGAGGCCTGGCATGCTGCGATTCATGGGGTCACAAAGAGTCGGACATGATTGAGCAACTGAACTGAACTGAACTGAAGGCCTGTATTTTAAAAGAAAGTCAAAGTCCCATGACCTGCAGATGACAGTTCTATGGGGAGTATACTTACAGAGCTAGCTGAAGCTAAAAATGTTTCATTTATGATGCCTCTGAATTGGCTTTTTCGAGGTTTTAGTTTTATCCTGATTCTCAGGACATTTTTAAAATTTTTTCCTGTCACTCCCTTATTAACAATATGTAGTCTCATGAACCTACCTTGCCATGTCCAAATCTCTCAACCACCGCTAATGATCTGACCTCACACATCCACCCTTCCAGACTATAGTTCTTCCTGGGGCCAAGGTTCCACGCCAGTGACTCACTAGCTCCCCAAGGACACGGGAGGCCTGATCAGTGCACCCTCCATCCATCCACCTGTCAGATGATGCCATGTACTATACTGGTTTACCTCTTCTCCACAGGATATCTTCACTCATCTATTCACTTTAAGCATGTGTCAGGACGTTACAGATTTATTTGCCTGGTTGAATGAGTAGATTCTATTAGTTAGCTTTAATCAAGTTAACTCTCACAATTGACTTAAATAGATTCCTTCAAAGAAACTGATGATGAAAGAATATGAATAACTTAGGTATGAATGAATAAGAAAATGGCTTAGCTGACAGGTCTCCTATACCTAGGAGAACTCATCAGGCATATTATGGGCTGATAGGTTTTAATCCAACATGACTGGAAGAGAGCCATAAAAACTGAAAATTATCTAGAAGGTTATTTGAAATGTAGATTTGTGCCCAAATAAATAATGATTTACCATCAATAATTTAAAATATGCTTATTTCATCTTTAACTGCTCTTTTAAAATCTTTTTTTTTTTTACTTTTTAAAAAATTAATTTATTTTTTAACTGAAGGATAATTGCTTTATAGAAATTTGCTGCTTTCTGTCAAACAGCAACATGACTCAGCCATAGGTATACACATGTCCCTCACTCTTGAACCTTCCTCCCATCTCCCGCCCCATCCCATCCTTTATGTACTTAAAAATTTTTATAATGGTAGTATAATAGAATATATGTATAATTATAAACAAATACATGTCAGAGATTGATGCTCAAAACCCTTTTAAGTGGTAGGTGTACAGGTCTTAATTAACTCTTCCAGCTAGGAAGGAATTTCCCTGTTTCCTTTGTTACAGCATTTTGAGCCTTCATTTCTTTCAAGATGTAACTCCTGTCTCCTTCACGAAGCCACCCCCAGTGACCTCTTGTGTCTGAATTTTCATTGTATTACAAACTCTTTTTCAAAAGTCTTAATGGGCTTCCCTGATAGCTCAGTTGGTAAAGAATTCGCCTGCAATGCGGGAGACCTGGGTTTGATCCCTGGGTTGGGAAGATCCCCTGGAGAAGGGAAAAGCTACCCACTCCAGTATACTCGCCTGCAAGTGCAGGGAAACTAAGGGACGCGGGTTCAATTCCTGGGTCAGGAAGATTGCCTGGAGGAGGGCATGGCAACCCAGTCCAGTTTTCTTGCCTGGAGAATCCCATGGACAGAGGAGCCTGGCGGGCTACAGTCCCTGGGGTCGTAAAGAGTCAGACACGACTGAAGCCTCTGAGCATGCATGCAGACACCAGGTGGCAAAGGAGATGAGAAGCAGCCTCTGCCTTTAAGGGACCCACAATCCCCCTGTCCATGTATAACTTCCTAATGGTTAAATGTACCACTCGAGTCTCCTAAAGGTGCCACTTCTCATACATCAATCAACCTGGCACAGAACTGGCACAGAACGGAGCCTGTAGCATCTCCACTCTGGGTACGTCTCACTTCACTGGTTTAAGTAAACCTTGTACGGCAAGACATGTACGCGTGTGTGCGTTAGTCACTCAGTCGTGTCTGACTGCAACCCCATGGACTGTAGCCGACCAGGCTCCTCTGTCCATGGAATTCTCCAGTCAAGAATACTGGAGTGGATAGACATTCCCTTTTCCAGGGTATCTTCCTGATGCAGGGATTGAACCCTGGTCTCCTGTATTGCAGGCAGATTCTTCACTGTCTGAGCCCCCAGGGGAGCTCTAAATGCCAAGATATGACTTTACAAAGAAAGTACGTGTTTGCAAAGGCATTCTGTGCTTTACAAGAAATACTTAGTACAGAACAGATTTCAGTAGTGAATATCCCTAATTTTTAGTATTTAACTTGGTTTTCAAAGATTCCATGTATAATTACATTGGAACACATCTCTTGGGGAAGGAGGTACTTGCCAATCAACTCCTTAATAACTATTTGTTAAGAACCTCTTTTAGTTGATTAGTCATGTCTGACTCTTTGCAACCCCACAGACTGTGGCTCACCAGGCTGCTCTGTCTATGGATTTCCCAGGCAGGAACACTGGAGTGGGTTGCCATTCCCTTCTCCAGGGGATCTTCCCAACCCAGGGATTGATCCCAGTTCTCCTGCACTGAAGGCAGATTTTTTTTTTTTTAATATTTATTTATTTTGCTGCTCTGGGTCTTAGTTGCAGCACGTGTGATCTAGTCCCCTGACCAGGGATTAAACCCAGGCCCCCTGAATTGGGAGTGCACAGCCTTATTCACTGGACCACCAGGAAGTCCTGCAGGCAGATTCTTTAGTGTTTGAGCTGCCAGGGAAGCCCTAGGGCACAGTCTCTGTGGGACTCAGACACACTTCTGTGAGCTGGAGAGCTAACCGAAGAGGTATGTACTCACTGAAGGATAACAGTATTAGATGAATGAAAAATGAACACCATTGGAACAAGCTCCTGAGAGCCTATTTTATACTTTGGCTCATGAAATTGCTAGGTTACAAAGGGAAATTTAAGTACTCTTTTTTTCTATTTTTCTAGTACTCTATTTTTCTAGTCAACTATTTTTTTCAATATAGATGCTTTCATTCATGCAAGGGTTCTGTATGTGAATTCATGGTGTGTGATTCATCACAGGGATGTTTTCCCTTCCTCATTTAAAGACAAAAGCATGAGACAAGTGCTCGGGCCTGGTGCACTGGGAAGACCCAGAGGAACTGGGTGGAGAGGGAGGTGGGAAGGGGGATCAGGATGGGGAATGCATGTAAATCCATGGCTGATTCATGTCAATGTATGACAAAAACCACTACACTATTGTAAAGTAATTAGCCTCCAACTAATAAAAATAAATGAAAAAAATAAATAAAGACAAAAGCTGGATGTTGGGGTCCACACCATGTACCAGACACTGTTTTAGAAACTAGGAATATAGCACCGAAGAAAAAACAGTAAAAGCCTTTGCCACAATAATGAGGCAGATAAACAAGATACATGTGTAAAATACAGTGTGTGTTGGATGCAGAAATGTGCCTCAAAGGAAAAAAGAACAGAACGGGGAGACCCAGCGAGGGGAGTTCATGTCAAACAGTAGAGTCAGGTCAGATTTCACAGAGAATATGATGTGTGAATTCTACAGGTTTTAAGATCTAAACGCAACATTTTCAATAGCCACAGAAAACAATTACAGTAAAACATATCTTGATTGACTCAGGGAGGTCAGGAGAGATAAGAACTGGGACACAGGAGATGTGGCACTTTACAACGGAGAGTGCAATTTCAAATTTTAGGTAACGTCCTCCACTTCAGCTTCAGGTTCTTCTTCAGCAACTTTTTAAAAGTCAGTCTACAAACATTTCACTTGCTTATCTAAGAGGTGTCCCTATG